TGAGGTTGCATCGAGTGGCACTAAGGTGATCGAGTTGCAAGCCAATGGTGCTTATTACTCTTGGAGGTTGACACCTCCTAGACGCCTTGGTGGCTTATGACTCCGTTGAAGCACGTGAGAAGATTGTGCGGTGCTCCAGAGGAGAATTTGTGAGGGGGATTGTGCTCACCCTACGGGGATCGTGAAGAGCAACTCTAGTTGGCCATGTCATTGAGCTACCCTCACTTTTGGGCTTGGCGGGTGATGCCAATTAGCCACCGAACCACCAAGTGAGCGTTCGACACAACAAGAACATAGCTTGGTGGCAACCAAGTGAACCTCAGGAGAAAATCACCATGTCAACATTATCTTCATCTTATTCTCAGTGGTTTACATTCCATGCAACACAAGCTTGTATTTACATTTCATACATTGTGCTTGTGTAGTTGCTCTTGTGACTAGTTTAGCTTTAGTAGCTTGCTAGTTGCCTTCTTGCTTGTGTAGCATAGAAGTAGCTCCCTTGTATGGCTAGTTTGGTTTTAGTAGCCTTGTTAGTCACATTGCTTAGATTTTGTAGCTAAGTAATTTGTGCTCCATAATTTAGCTTGTGTAGCCATGTTATTAAGCATTGCTAGTGAGCTTAGGTGGCTTTGTGCTTTTGCTTACAAGATTGTGTAGGTGCTCTCTGGTTTGCTTGAAGTACTAGTTGCATAGGTTTGTGTGACCTTTCAAGCTAGAATTAGATAGGTGAGCACTAGCTAGCCCGACACCTTTGTTGCCTCTTTAGTATCTTTATAAGGTGCTTGTCAACTTAGATAGAGGGGTATAGTCTTGGCTAAACTGATAATTTTAATTCCGTATTTGTTGTTGGTCAGCCGGCGCGATTAAATTTAGAAATGACTATTCACCCCCCTCTAGTCCGCCATCTCGACCCTACACGTGGTATCAGAGCTAGGTCTCTCATTCATGGTCTTCACCGACCCGAGAGGATGGCGACTAATGGGCTAGATGATTGTGAGACACACGTTTTTGATGGCACAAACTTTGCACATTAGAAAAATCACATGCTTGATCATTTTCATGCAAAGGGACCTAAGTTTTGATGAATTATCACTAGTGGTCTCACCCATGTCTTAGACCATAGAAATCTCACCAAAGCTCAAAGAGTTCTCTTTGAACTTGATGCACATGCTTGTTGTTATCTAATGGATGCTTTGAGCTTTGATTTGATGAAAAAGATAAACTACGTGGGAATCGCTCGTGAGATATGGGAATCAATCAAGCACACCTTCGGTGATTCCTCCACATGGGATGATGGCAAGTTCAAGAAGGAGGAGCCCAAGGAGGAGGTGCATGAGTGTGTCGAGCATGACCACAATTTGGTGATTGCGGAAGATTGCTCCACCTTATGGTCAAGTGATGATGATAATAATATTAGCATAAGATCACTTGACAAGATTGATGATGATGCCACAAGTGATGCACGTGACGATTCTACCTCAAGCACACGTGGTGGTGATCTTGATGATGTTGGTTCATGCTCGAGTCATGATCGTAATGCTACTACAAGCTCTCCATCATCACCACATTGCTTCATGTCATAAGGTGACACAAAGTTACAAAGTGCTAATGTGGTTGATCATGTTGATTTATATGATGAGCTTGTTAGTAGACTTGCTAGCATGACCATGTCTTTAGAAAATGAGAAAGCTAAATATTGAAATTGGAAAATGAAAACTCATTTCTAAAGACTCATGTGAAGAACATAAGCACTTACTTGATGTTCTTAAATCTTCACATGGTGAGCTAAAATTGACTCATGAGACAATACTTGTATCTCATGAAAAATTATTAGAACAACATGCTTCTCTCATTAAAGCATTTACAAAGAAAATTAAAAAGAATGAGAGCTCATCACATGAGTCAGTGATCAATTGCAACATATGACTAACTCTTGTGATGTAGGGAAGAAGCATGTGTGATGATTTATTAGATATGCCTTGCTCTTCACATATAGATGCTTGTTCTACTTCTATGTCTTGTGAGACTAACCTTTTGAAGGAGAACAATGAGCTCAAAAGAGAAGTGAAGAAATTGAGCAACAAGATAGAGAGGTAGCTCCCTTGCGTGGCTAATTTGGTTTTAGTAACCTTGTTAGTCACATTGCTTAGTTTGTGTAGCTAAGTAATTTGCGCTCTCTAATTTATCTTGTGTAGACTTGTTATTGAGTATTGCTAGTGAGCTTAGGTGGCTTTGTGCTTTTGCTTACTAGATTGTGTATGTGCTCCCTGGTTTGCTTGAAGTACTAGTTGCATAGGTTTGTGTGACCTTGCAAGCTAGAATTGGATAGGTGAGCACTAGCTAGCCCGGCACCTTTGTTGCCTCTTTAGTATCTTTATAAGGTGCTTGTGAACTTAGATAGAGGGGTGTAGTCTTGGCTAGACCAATAGTTTTAATTCCGTGTTTTGTTCTCGGTTAGCCGGTGCGATTAAATTTAGAAATGACTATTCACCCTCCCCCCTCTAGTCTGTCATCTCGGCCCTACAGCGGCCAATGGCGGTCCCACCACTTATTGTTCAAAGCCCCCTGGCTGCCTCCTCCTCCTAGCCAGGATGCCTCCCCAATATCCCTTTCTATAGGTAGAGACACAATCAGCCTAGGAATAGAGATGGCAGCGGATTGGGTAAGGTGTGGGTAAAGCATTTGTCCGCCCGCGAGCATACCAACAACCATAAGTTTATTCATAACTTCTGATTGATCTGACAGGTTAGGTAGGCAGATAGTGGGAGGCCTTTTGGACCGTGGGCTTGTCGTGGGGGCTAGGCCAGGAACGGTCGTGCGGAAGGGAGACAAGTGGGGAGGCCGTGTGGGCTTGGGGTGATGGCCTTTGGGCTGATCATGACCCAAGCCGAGAGGGGGAGTGGGGGAGGCAGGGAGGGAGGGAGTGGGCCGCAAGGTGGCCTTTGTCTTGGGGAGGGAGGAGATCAGCGATGGGCTTGGCCCATGCGCAAACAGGGGGAGGAGGAGAGGTGGGTGGCGGGCCACGGAGTGGCTTTGGCCCAAGAGGAGGTTGAGGCTTGGGGTAGCATTAGGGACAGATTTGGCCCAAAAGCTGTTAGGTTTGGGCTAGCATTACCTAGAGATTTAGCCGAAGTACGTAGAAAAATACTGTCTTTTGGTTTTACCGTAGCATTAGCATGAGCATACTAGTACTCCCTCCGTCCCTGAAAGAATGAATTCCTAGCAACTTTAGGGCAGTCCCAATGAAAGAAACTAGTAGTTTCTATAACATAGGATACCGCACCAAAAAAATACTGCTTTCCAACTCATGGTTTCTATGAGTAATAATTATTTTATCTTTCTCTCTCCCAACTCTATCTTCTTCCTCCAATGGAAGTGCGACACGAACTCCCTAGAAACTGGTGGTTTCTCCCCAATGGCGATTTTATGGTTTCTTGGTGCATTGGGTCAAGAGTAGACCTGATTTCTTCATGAGAAAACCATTTCTATGATTTTTGCTCTCTTTCTTCATTAATTACGTTACCATGTCAGCGTTTTGCCTACGTGGCAAATCATTTAATGAGGATAGAAACCATCATCAATACACCATTGGGACTGCCCTTAGGACAGATTAGCAACAAAGATAAAAGACCATGTTGCCTCTTATTAAATCGTTGAACCTTAATAACTCTCTAGTTACCGAGAAGCCTAATTAAGGAGTGTCTTTTGGAGTATCCAATAGCATCGCACGAGAGAGAGGTTGTGTTAAATGTGACCCAAACTACGAGAGAGATTAATGTGGATCTGTGTGTGGACTGTTCACCTCCAGAAATTGATTCTTTTGCAGTCAAATTTTTAGGCTAGAAATTAATTCTTTCACGGACCAAGGGAGTAGTGAATATTATAATACCATTAATTCATTTAACTAAGAATTTTTTATCCTAGATCTAAAATATTGTTCTCCTAGACTTAGAACGTTTGTTTTATAAAGGCAGAATATTTTATCTTAGGCCTAGAACAATACTCAATAAAAGAATAAAAATTATATCTTTCTGAGATAAATGTTCGTTAATAAAATTTTATCTAAATATATCTAAGTGGGGTCTTGTTTTGAAGAGTTTATTATAAGAAATATGATGATGCAACCAGATTAATTTGGAATGTAGGTTCTTTATAACTTTTAATAAAAGATATTGCATGTCTGTCGATGCGAACAAATTTAGATTTGTTCCATGGAACTATGGAAGCATGGAGAAAGATATTGCATGCATCAATACATGCGGTGCTTCGCGAGATTGGCAGTTTACTCGGTGCTCAGAGCCCTCTATCCAAACGCGTTCGGCTGGCGGTTGCCACGTGGCCCCCACTCCCTGGAGCCTGGAGGCTCGAGCAGACCTCATCTGTGCGACCAAGTCGCGCTCGAACGCACATCCCATCACATCACACACCGTCGAAACCTCAGAACCGCCATCATCAACGCCCAAGGAATCACCCGCACATGCCCTCGCGCTCCGTTTTAGGCCGCGTTTAGTTCGGCCCCAGATTTGGCGCCGCCCAAATTCGCGGCACTGTTGCGCACTGTAGCGTTTTGTTTTTATTTGATAATAATTGTCCAATCATTGACTAATTAGGCTCAAAACGTTCGTCTCGCAAAGTATAACTAAACTGTGCAATTAGTTTTTGATTTCGTCAACATTTAGTACTCCATACATGTACCGCAAATTTAATGTGACGAGGAATCTTCTTTTTGCATAGTGCCAAATTCTGAAATTTGGATGAACTGACGTGGCCTTACCGGCACCACTCTCCCTCGCACTCCTGAGCCTACATAAACTCTCCCGCACAGAGCTCGGAAGGGAAAGGAGACGCTGATCCGATCGCGATCGAGAGGCGAATCGTGCAGTTGGATCACGCAGCGCGATCGAGTGACCAAGCTGTCGCATTGCACCGAGATCGATCGATCGAGAGGCCGCAGCTAGCGGCGGCGTTTATTGGTGCCAGCGCAGCGCGCGGCCGGGGCCATGGCCGGCGCCGCGTTCCCGGCTGTCGTTTTGTCCCTCCTCGGCGCCGCCACTTTCTTGGTGGGCTCTGCGTCGGCGGCGTGGCATGCGCAGGTGTTCGTGGTCGGCGGCGAGCCGAGGGGGTGGAGGAAGCCGACGGCGCCCAACGAGGAGAGCTACAACCACTGGGCCGTCAGGAACCGCTTCCACGTCGGCGACTTCCTCCGTTAGTGCATGCAGTAACTTAACCATACCATGCTTGCATCGATCGCATTCATTCATTCGCTACATTTGATATGCATGTATGTATCTGGCATGCACATGCACGTTGATGCGTGATCCGATCCTCCGCCGGCTGCAGATTTCAAGTACGACAAGAACGACTCGGTGCTGGTGGTGACCCGCGACGCGTACCAGCTCTGCGTCGTGGACAAGCCGACGCTGCATTTCGAGGGCGGGGACACCAGGTTCCGCCTCGACCACAGCGCCTTCTACTACTTCATCAGCGGCGCGGAAGGCCACTGCGACGCGGGGCAGCGGATGACCCTGCGCGTCATGGTGCCGCAGCAGGGCGACGGCAGCAAGGCGCCCGCCCCGGCCGAGGCGCCCGCCGCCGCGATGTCGCCAGGCGGAGAGGACGACGAAGGCGGGACGTTTGATCCGCCTCCCGGCCCTCGTCGTTCTTCCCCGCCAGGGTCCGGCGGGGCCGGGTCGTCGTCTCCTGGCTCGGGCTCCGGCTCCGTGTCGAGGCCGCCGCCGCACGTGGCGCCAGGTGCCGATGGGAATAAGACTAGCGCTGCTGGGTCTATGCACGACGCGTCGTCGTCGCCGTCGCTTCGTGGGCATCGCGTCGTCCTTGGGGTTGCTCTGGCCGAGCTGCTGCTGTTCTTGGCCGCTTGAGATGCATGGTTCGTCTATGCATCACGCATGGTGCTATGGTAGGCACTAGCTAGGGAATCGTTCGGTCGTTTGTCAGGTCTCACTGGGTGTTACGGCACTGAATGTTGCACAATTGTCGTAACTCTCATTTAACTGGTTACTGGAGTATGTATGCTGTGTCGCACATGTCTAATTTTTATCATTCATTTTGGGTATGTAAGAGAGTTTCTCCACCATATTGATCAAATGTAATATCTTTTTCTCTATAATCAGTGATAAAGGTGATTGAAGGCACATAAAACATACTTTAGCAGATCTCATTTTTCTAGAAAATTTATTAATCCCTCGGAACCTCCCCTCAATCTCTCAAAGAAAGAGAAACAAATAGCAAAATTTCTTAATTCTTAACTAGCATCTCTAGGCCATGTTCGCTTCCCCAACAATGACTCCCAGGAAGAATTTCCAGAATTGTTAGTTAGTTATATAAGCTTTCATTAGCCGGAATGATTCCTGACGTCATTTTGCCCTAGCCAAACGAGCCCTTATTAGGTGGTCGGGCCCATCTTACAAATGCCATGCCGTCGAGCCATGGCCCCACGCTCCACACACCGTTGCCCACGCAGTTGAGCCATGCCCCTACACTCTGCGCACCTATTGCTGAGCCAGCAGACAGCCACAACTCGTGGTGCCCCTCGCATAGGCACCGCACTGCTAAGCCGTCGTTGTTCCACTAGGCAGAAGGCAGCTGTGAATTTTTTTAACACTTTTTTAAACTATTTCCAAATTTGACACTGTTTTTTTTATTTTCAAATCTAACACTTTTGGCCGCACCTATTGCCACGGCGCGGCCAAACAGCGCTGTCGCGCCATGTGTGGCGGCGCGGCAAAGGCGATGACGTGGTAGGAGCACAGGCCCTGACCGGCTGACATGGCAGGCGCTGCCATGCCACCCATCTTGGTGCAGCAGTGCCACGCCATCGCCCACGGCGCTTGGCAGACCCAATTACAGGGCCACGACGTGGCTTCCTCTTCCCTCTCTCTCTCTCTCTCTCCATTCATTTCCTTTTACCCGTGCCCGCCAGACGCCACCGCCAGTTGCCCGCCCACGCCCGTCGCCCATGCTCGCCGCCGGCCGCCGCCGTCACCCCCTCCCTTGGCTCCTCCACCGCGGGTCGTGCCTCCCTACCTGCCCCTCTCCCCATTCCCCTACTGATTGGGTGGGGGTCAGCCCCTTGGTCGGCCGTTTAGCCACCGCCGCCGCCGCTGGTGGCCCTCTCCGTCGTCGGGGCTGACCCCCCAGGAGGCTCCCCTTTGCTAAGGTATTTCCCCCCTCCAGGACCCTCATTTTGGTGATTAATTTTTAAATCAATTGATTAGTGTTAGTGATTTGGTATAGTTAAGTAGTTAGGATTTAGGGTATGGTTAGGAAGTTAGCCTTTAGGTTTTTGTTAGTTAGGATATTGGGTTTAGGGTTTGGTTAGTAATTTAGGGTTTAGGTTTTTGTTAGTTAGGATTAGGGGTTTAGGGTTTAGGCTATTGTTAGTTAGGACTTTGGGTTTATGGATTGGTTAGGTAGTTATGGTTTAGTTAGTTTGTAGTAGTAATGGTAGTTAGTATAGATACTAGTTTTCATGTGTTGGTACTTAGTAGTGCGTGATATGATGATTTCAACGAGTTGATGAAGTTTTCTCAAATGCTTTTGTAGATGGATTGTTGTGTCTGAGTTTTTTACGGAGGAAGTGTTAGGAAAGAAGATGGTATGTTTGAGGATATGGAAGAAGAATTGGAATAGTTTGATGAACATCCTAGCTTCGATGACCTTTGTGTCTATTTGAATGCAAAGTTTGGTGGTGATTTCACAGTGAAGGGAAGATTTGATAGTGGGAAGACTAGGGCACACTATGTCCTGATGCCCTTGTGTGACTCTGCTCACTGGTCCTGCTACAATAGGGTGCTCCAAGGTTCCAATGTGCCCATAGTTGAGGTGGTGGTGGAGAATGGGTACATGATGCAGGGTCTCTAGGACTGGCCATCCAATGATGGTGTTGGAGGTAAAGAACAAGAATTGGGGGTCAAAGGGGAAGCAACTCAGGGTAACATTGATTTGGACGCTCAGTTGACGCAGGAGCAGTTTCATTCAACTCCAGTAGGTTGTATAAGCAATGACTTCGATGTGAACGAGTTCGAACAGGAAGAGGAGGAGCAGGAGGAGGAAGACAAGATCAGTGATGCAGTTAGCAATGATTCAGACGATTCTGATGATGACCAATGAGGTAGAGATGCTATGCCAACACCGGTTGATGCCATGCCAGTACTGGTTCATGCTATGCCATTAGCAGTACCAACTGAGGTACCTCATACTATGCCGGCTCAGGGTAGACTAGTCATAGATTTGCCAGAGGATGATACCCCCTATGATTCATGGGGTAGAATTAGCGAAGCACAGCAGTACGTTCCACCACCACCTTACACAGCGATAGAGCTTATGCAGCTGAGGTCGATGAACGTACCTTTCAGTGGCATTTTGAACTATAGGGATGTCAGTATGACGGATATGGCAGTTTGTGACACCGATCTGCAGATGTGTAGGAAATCATTGTATGACCATGAGAATGTAATCCTTGAGAAGGGGATGATATTCAATACAATGTCAGTGATGAAGTTGTTCCTTCAGGACTATGCTGTCTATCACGATAGGCCCTACAACATCACTCATTCTGACAAGGAGTTGAGGTACCACGTGACATGCAAAAATGGTTGTATGTGGAGGTTAAATGCATGAAAGAGACAGAGTGATGGCAAGTGGAGGATAAGTAAAGTGATCCAACCCCATACTTGCCTATCAAATAAGGGGAAGGAAAATCATCAGCAGCTCACTGCACGTTACCTTACTCGTCATATATTGGGGCTCATCGAATACAATAACGACATTTCGGTGTCTTCCTTACAAGAGTCCATATCTAGATTCATTAAGTATGATGTAAAGTATGGAAAGGCTTGACATGCTAAGCAAATTGCCCTTGCAATTCATTGGGGTAGCTGAGAGGAAGCATACAACAGGGTACCCCAAATATTATGTGCAATGCATTACTACAACCCTAGCTTGAAATGGTTTGTAGACACCGGAGGGATGTATTTCAAGGACCCGTTGGGGCATGTCCTACATCATGTGTTCTGGTCGTTCGCGTAGACGGAACATGTATTCCAGTATTGTCGCCCAGTCGTACTTATTGATGGCACTTTCCTGACCGGAAAGTACAGGGGCACCTTGATGATGGTTGTTGCTATTGATCCGGAGGACTAGATAGTACCCATGGCTTTTGCCTTGGCAGAGGGGAAGAACAATGAATCTTGGTCATGGTTCATGTGGCTTCTACGTGTACATGTGCTTAGCCCATCTTGCACTATGTGTTTGATCTCAGACTGTCACCCATGGATTCTTAATGTTGTAGGTGAACACAAAGATGGGTTCCCACCTCTAGTGCATAGATGGTGCATGCGACATTTTGTCGCTAATTTTTGGTGGCGTTAGAGGAAGAAGGAGGTTTGTGACAAGGTAAAGGCTCTATGTTATGTACGTACAGAGCACCAGTTGAAGGAGACAAAGAGAGAACTAGACAAGATGGTAAATGAAGTGGGCAAGGCCTGGTTAGAGGCGTAGATGGAACAGAAGGCTAAATGGGTGTTAGCATATGACGAGCACGGTTTTAGGTACGGCAACATGATCACCAACTCGTCCGAGTCTTTCAACCATGTATTCACCGGAGTTCGATCATTGCCTGTGTCTGGATTTGTTGAGTTCTCCTTTCATAAGTGCAACGAATATTTTGTCAAGAGGTGGGAACTTGCGCAGAGGAATATAGCTGAGCATGGACGATTTGAAAAGGCTAGAGTAGAACATTTGAAGGAGGCCGAGGAATTGGCCAAGCACCAGACCGTCGAGCCATATGGACCTCACCGGCATGTCTTTAGTGTATGGGGGAAGGGTGGCACAAGCTTGGCTGGCGAACATTATGGTGGATGGAACTACCGAGTTGATCTTGACAAAGTAGAGTGCAGTTGCAACATCCCTCAAATCATGCATGCCCCTTGCTCTCACATGATCACTGCCTGCAGGTGAAAGGTCCTTGTGTGGTTTTGGTAATTGAGTGACAACCTAGGTGGACTAATTGTGTTTATGTGAGATACACAGGTGATTAGTCCATAGGTACATATGTGTGAGCAACATATGCCATGAAGGTGAAAATGGCTTGGAGATGTTGTAAAGCTCACACATGTGATGATGAAGGAGCTTATTGAACATGAGACATGACATTGAGTCATGTGATCAAGGTGGAGAAGATCAAGACACGACTTGGCTTGATGGACCGGTTGTAAGCGTGAAGGGCAAGTCGGAGGCTTTGGAGCGATGGACCGCATGGCGGTGAAGCTTGAGCAAGACTTGGCGCCGATGGACGAAGGCAACGGTGAAAAGCAAGTGAAGTCAAGATCGATGAACCAATATGATCACATGATGATATAAAGTGGATCATATCATTGTTGCTCATGTTGGTGCATGTGTTGCATCGACATTGGAGGAGATGGAATGGAATGCACAAGGCAAAGGTATAACCTAGGGCATTTTATTTCACCGGTCATAGGTGTGTAGAGAAGTTGATGACCGGGTTTAGGATAGATGGCCGTACTATCAAGAGGGGCAAACTTGTTTGCATATCGGTCATCTAGTGCCACTCGAGTGATCTAACTTTGCATCATCGCTAGCATCGAGTGGCGTGGCAAGTTGAGTGGATAATCCTTTGGAAAATATTTGTGAAAAGCTAACACATATACACATGGTGGTGCACACTTGGTGGTGTTGGCACATTTGCAAAGGAGAAGAAGTTAGAGTTGTTGTGAATCAACTTAGAGAAGAGAAAAAGGTTTTTCGGTGTACTCCAAACTATAGGATGGTCCTTGGATTGGAATACTGCTTTCATCCATTTGTGATTTGGATCAAGTATGCATGTGGGATGTGTAGTCCT